AAAAAAAATGGCCAATTCACTATTCATCTTTTTGCACAACTTTAATATATATATAATTACTAACGTGTTAAAATACTTTTTTATTAATTTATAATAGCATTTATGTTTTACTTGTCTATTTATAATATAATATGAAATATTATAAAAAGGTATAAAAAAGCCATATTTTATATAAAAAAGTTATATGTATAAATATTAACCATGCGGTAGATGCAAGTGCGGTAGATGCAAACAAGAATAATTATGGAATCAAGAACGTGATATTAAATTAATTATATGTGAATAACAATGTTTAATCACATGCGATTAAACATATATAATAAGAAAAGTTGTTAAAAATTAAAAACATGCATTATGTGTAGATTTACATGTGAATAACAGGTTTAATAACACATGCCAAGGTTAACCATATATGCCTAACATGGTTTAATCAAATTTGAATAAATACATATAATAAAAAGTGATTATGTACACGACAACAACTATTAAACCAAGAACACGAAAACGAATATTGTCCACATGAATCACATGTGATTAAATAAATATAATCACATGTGATTAAATATACAAGACCAACTATTGAATACAAAACGCGAAAATGAATAGTGTACATCAAAATAATATTCGATTAAACAAATATAATCACATATGATTATATGTATCTAATCAGATATGATTTATATGCACAATATTCATTTTCACGTTCTTGATAGCGGTTCTCATGTATTTAATCACATATGATTTTATTTTGAAAAAAATATTGTCTATATAAATCATATGTAATTAGATACATATAATCACATGTGATAAATCATATGTGATTAAATACATATAATTACATGTGATTATGTACACTCGAACAACAATTGAATCAAATACGCGAAAACACATCTAGTCCATATAAATCATATGTGATTAGATACAAAAAAGTGTTAGGTCATAAATTGTCGTTTATAGTTCTCGGTCTAGGACCGAAAACACCATGTTTTGGTGTTGTTTGGACCGAAATCGCATGTGATTTCGGTTAGGCTTAATATTGTTTTGTTTGGGTTTTGGGCTTGGGCTTTGTTATTAGGTCTAGGTATAAATAGTGTTATTTTAGCCTAGATAGGAGTAAGAGACGTTTTTGTGGTAGCCATATGCTAGGGACGTGATTTTTGGAGAGAAACAGAGAAAACCAAGGGTAATCAAGTATCTTATGTACTCGACTATTCATCAATAATAATGTATTTGTGTTCTTATTCCATATTTGATCTTGCATCATTCACTTGATTGGGATTCCGCACCATCATAGTGAAATCCGATTGATACGTAGCGATTTGGGAATGTTGGGTCTAAAATATTAGTTTATACTTTACTTTTCTAGGAAAATGTATTTTTCAGTCATGTAATATGTGTTTGCTGTTGTGTTTACGGCCGTGAACCTGTTCACAGCCCATGTTCCCCACATATATATATATATATATATATATATATATATATATATATATATATATATATAGGTTTTAGGGGTGAGGAGAGGGTGATGAGCTTAAGGAGAGAGAGAAAAAGGAGCATAAGTGTGTGTAAGTGTGTGAATCTTGTGTAAGGAAACTTCATTCTAATCAAATCATACAAGATTCATATTATTCTTCTTCTCCTTCTCTTCTATTTTGATCTGGCATCATCTGTTTGATTGGGTTTCCGCACCATCAAACGGATCTGAATGATACACAAGCAGATTTGAGACTTACAAATGGTCTCAGAGCTTGGATTATATCAATCATTTTGGCCAGATCTGGAGCGTATTTGATCTTATTTTTGAAGGATTTTTGCTTTTTTGGATAGATCTTTGAAAAATAGGGGGGTTTGTTCTTCGTGTTTTTGATAAAAACGAGTTTTTGATCGAGTTTTGGAGCAAAAAGGGGTGAAAACGCTGTTTTTTTCGTGATACGAAGAAGGGTTCTCGGCCACCGAAGAAGGGTTCACGGCCGAAGAAGCGTTTACGGCTATGGTTTCTCGGCGGCGGCCGTAATCATGAATTAGGGTTTCTCGGACAGTTCACGGCACAGCAGGAGTTCTCAGCTAGCAGGTTCCCGGCCCAACACGTGTTCAGCCCACTTGCTCGTTCAGCAACCTCGTTCAACAACCTTCTTTTCGTTCAACGTTTATTAAAAAGGAGGGGATTTTGGGGGCTGCAAGGATCGAACTCGGATCCCTTGTGTAATCAATCAGCGCCCCTTCCAACTCATCTAGCTTGCTAAATGTTACTCTCCTTCCCAATTTAATTCAAAAAGGCTCCCTGTCTCGGTTCAATTTCGCAATATTGACATATTTTGCCCAAAAATCAATTTTTCTAATTTTCAAACTTCATTTTCAAACCAAAAGTTTTGACTTTTAATTTTGACTTTTGACCTTAAATTTTGACTTTGACTTTCAAGTTTGACCTTTGACTTTAAACTTTGACTTTCTCGTTTAACTTTCAAATTTTCAAATTTAGCTTTTCGGTTTGACTTTTAAGTTTGAATTTTTAAATTTGACTTTTAAGGTTGACTTTTGAGGTTTTAAGTCAAAGGGCATTTTTTTAAATAAAAAAAATGAGTTCATCAAACATCCCGGTCACTGAAATTTCGTGTTCTCAAGCATGCATTGATAATGTTAAAAATTTACGTGAACACATCGATTTATTAAAAAGAGAAGTTGAGGACCTAAAATACGAAAGATACACAATTACGAAGAATCAAAAACCCCTGAAAGAACAATTAGAGACCAAAGCAAAGGACTTTCGAAAACTACAAGAAGAATATAACAACAAATGCGTAAATTATAAATATGTTAAGGAACAGTTTGCCACTGTGACTGCCGAACTTGATGCATTAAAAGAAAATTATAAAGATGCTGAATGCAACTTTAAGAAATTTGATGTGTCAAGTGAGGTAGTTGTGTCCATGATTGACAATTGTTTGAAATTTAAAGATAACCAACAAAAGGGTCTAGGGTATGATAGTGTTCCTCCTCCTTTCAATCATAACTACACATCCATCCCTATGACATAGGAATAAATAGAAAGGGAGGCACATTTTCAATATGGGAAACCTGCTGTGGTTATGCCAGATAAGGTTGAGGTGAACGTTTCTAATTATTCTGTTACATGTGCAGGTAAAGTAGCGGAAGATGAGAACAAGGAGAACACTATTGAACAAAACAATGACTCCTTGAACTCAGAATCTGTTGCTTGTAACTCAGTTACTTCTGATCAACCTGCTGTTGATAAATATAGGACACCAAAACAAGCAAATCAGAGTGCCTGCTGCAACTGTGCTTGTGGGAACAATAAGAGACAAGGCAAGGCTACGCCACCAGGGGCAGGAAGAAACAATTCCTATGTGAAGAAAAAGACATGTTTTCACTGTGGAACACCTGGACACATTGCCAGAAATTGTCCAAATCGCGCATATGTTCCCTACTACGCACAAGGATGGCAAAACGCACAAAGTGGGAGATTCTCCAAAAGAAATCATTCGAGGTCACAATCGCACAATGGTGACTGGAACACGCAGAAGGCCAAGAATCAAACCCACAAGGCCAAGAATCCGACTCCCAACAACAAGAAGGGATTGCCAGGCAAGATGCCAAATCCAAGAGATGCTCCAGTAAAGCCAAGACTGGTTAGGTCAAAGCCATCTCGACGACCGACTTCAAGTTCAAAAGCAAGTACTGAGGCACCCATCTGATCCAACAAGAAATGGGTTAAACCTGACTACAGATGGGTACCAAAGGTTCAGTCTCCCAAATCATCTAATGCGTCTAATATTTCTTCATCTTCTGTTTGTAATAAACAGAACATGTCATGGGAGAGAGTACCTTGCAAAGATGACAAAGGTCGACCCAGTTTCAAAATAGACTGGGTTCCAAAGACCAACTGATCGCGCTCTGTGTCGGAGAAACTATGGAGGCATATCATCAGACTTCGATTTGTTGATAGTGGTTGTTCCAGGCACATGATAGGAGGGATCTCTCAAATGTACAACATTCAGAACTTTGTTTGAGAGTATGTGTCCTTTGCGGGAAGGGAAGAAAGGAAAGGATCACACATGGGGTTTGTGCTTAACGATGTGAAGAATTTTCAGGTCTGTTCTGAGATTATGCGTGCTGTTCTCAGACCTTCTGGATGCAAATTCAATCGATGAATTACGATTTGAGTTTTCTTCTCGATACTCCTGAGTTTTTCTTATATTGATTCGTTTTAAAGATAATCTTTTATTTTCTTATAGTTTTTCGTTAGTAGGTATTGTTTGGGAAGTGATATGAAGTCTAGTGCTAAAGGGCAATATGAAATTCATGTAATGCACTAAAGCCGAATTGTCTAGACTTTGTGTTCAATGTGCTGGTAGGCACAAAGGATTCAAAAGGACTAGACATTGATTGACCATGAAAGGACTAGACAATATGGACTTAGATAGTTTTATTTGGACTGACCATATGACGCTTGGGTAGATTGAGCAGTGAGATAAACATGGAAACCTGCGAGATACACTAAAAGTTAATTATCTAGAACTGTAGCTCAACATTTCCTTGATGTATGGACTTATGTCCTTAATTCCGGTACTGATAGGGCGACTGGCATTTTTTAAAAAG